GTCTTTATGAATAGAATTAAAGCCCTTCCCTTGGAAAAGCGTACCTGTAGTCATACTGTTTGTTAAGGTGTCTCTCTATCATCTCATTCCATTGAAATCTAGCAAACTCAAGTATGGCCGATAGAGGATGCAAAGCCTGTGTGTGGGCAGTGAAGCAAGGCAAGAAACTCCTTATTTCTCTACTGGGCATCCACACAGAAGCCGCACGCATGCAGGCCCTAGCAGGCTGTTGCCTTGCCAGCCAGAATTAGGAGACAAAAGATAGTCTGAAGAAGACGACCAGTTCTGTATCATGTTCTCAAAGGTGGCCGTGAAGATTTTGAGGAGCTGCTTGTTCTGTGCTTATGCCTCTGTGGCTTTGTCCCTCAGAGGGAGGATGCCAAGTGAAGAAGGTGTTAGAACAGCCCTGGGATTCCTGTTCCTGCTGTGCTGCAGACGACTTGTATCCAGGTGGTTCATTTACCCCCAGATCCTCAAAGGCAATGAAGTGCCTTTGAGCCTTTGCACCTCAGCCACTTTGGATCTGTCTGTCACCTGGAAAGGTAGAAATACCAACATTTGCCTTCTTCAGGGAAACTGGTAAGAATGAGCTCATTAAAGGTTACAGGGGATGGAGATCAATATTGCTGCTCTGCAGGCTGCAGAAACACAAAATCGTTTTGCAGCTTCACAGGTTCACCAGCATTTATGTGGACATGGCTTGTTACTTGCTAATTTGCACACCTTTCTTGGAAAATCAGCCAGTTGACTGCTATACCTATTACATCCCTGCACTCCACGGGCTATAGGCTTAAGTTTTGATCTCTTGGTGTTATGTGGAGGATGTTCCATGCCCTGTTCCTTAGTGCTGGCTGTGAAAATCTGGCATGGCTTTGAACTGCTTTCTGTGAGATCCTTCCCTGTTGATCCTAATGGCTTTGGTGAGAACAGGGTGCAAGCATGGCTGGCTCGAGGATCACTTTGTTGATGGTCTGGGCAAAGATGAATAGCCATGACTCAGGAAGACCTTCCTGACTCGCAAAGGGATCCCAGCAAACCAGGTCTGAGGACACTGGTGAAGCCCACAGTATCTGTATATTATTTCCTCTTGGCAACTCAAGCTATTTGTAAGAGTTTCTTTTACTCTGCTGGCTATATGGGTGAGCACAGAGGTGCTGTTTGGCGAGCAGGAATTCACCCCCCACTTTCAGCAAGAGTCTTCTGAGGACAGGAGGTTGAGGCCAGCCTGGTAACAGGCACTATGTGAAATCAGGAGTGCAATCTGATAGGGGCTGGCAGCCCTGGGGAAACGCACCAGGGTTGCCAGGGAGCTCTACCTGCCCTCACTAGGTCAGCACCAGAATTAGGCAGCCTTTGAAGCAGCTATAAAATAGCTGCTGCAGCTCCATCTCTTTTGTGGCTGCACAGGGATCACTTCCAGCCTCCTCTCAACAGAAGGTTTCCTCTCCAAAATGTTGAATAATGAGAAGCCCGAATGGCTCATAGCAGCTTAAGGCCACTGCTTCAGTGGTCACGCACAGGTGGCTTTCCCTGCCACGGATGAGGCTCCTCCAAGGCACGCAGTGAAACAAACTGTGTGATTTTAGTCCCTCTGCTTGCCTCTTTGTGCCTTGGAGACCAGTGTGATGAGTTATGTTAGCTGTGATTAGAAAGCCAGCATCCACCCTGCTTAATGACACAATTACTCCACGCTTCCCTGAGCTGCGTGGTGACTGTAGCGGTGATTGTGGTTGCCAAACGCAGCCCAGTTCAACAGAACAAAGTTTTCCTGGAGAATAAAGGTGGAACCTCACCCTTTTCTAATAGAGCAGCAAAGCCTGAACCTTTCCACGTGCCTGTCTGAGCTTTGATACTTCACAACCAGGAAGCTGCCCACTATGGTCGGCTTATCGTGCCCGTTTATCTACAGTGGCTGAGCTGGGTAAATACTGGGATCATTCTGCATAGTGGTCAGTAATTTTGTAGAAGTAATACTTTGCAGTTTACTTTGAAAGAGAAGTCTCTTTCCTGAGAGTCCTGATGCTGCAGACATATGTGTTGAACGCTTCTTTCCAGGTTTGAGATTTGGTCTGGGGGAAGAAGCCAAAGTCTGCCTGGTCCGTTCGTTGCCACCTATGCTGTGAGGATGTGCTTTGCAGACCCACCTGCCTGTGATGATAAGCTCTTAGCGAGTGATTGAGCTAAGCCGTCTTTATCCCTTGTCTCTTGACTATTTTGCTTACATCAGCTTGTTCCAGGAGGTAACCGGGTACACAGGGTTGCTTCCCTCTAGCCCTTGCATTTTTTTTGGAGAAGACTGAGCAAACGTTGCCTGCCACATCAGGCAGTGCGGGAAACAGCCCCTGCCGCTGTGATGGATGAGTAGCTGGTTCTTCCCTGCAAAACCAGCTGCCTCCTGCCCCTGTGGCAGCCAGCCAGATTGCCAGGTCCCGCTTCCTTCTCCAGGCAGGCAGCGTTAGTCAGGCAGAGACGGTGAGTTCAGCTGCTCCTGCTGCCTGCGGGAGGGGAAGGGCAGCTGCCTGTGGCAACAGCAGGCGGCCATTGCCACAGAGCAGCGGGAGCATCTCTGTGCGGGTCCTGCCTCAACAGGGCCCTTCCCGCTGCGTTTCTCTACCAGCTCTGTCAACACGGAAACCCCTGGCACCCCCTTATGGGTGTCATTTAAAAAAAAAAAAAAGGTCAAACTGGCAAACTTGTCTTCCTTCCCCTTGGATTTAAATAAAAAAGCATCTTTTTTCCTGCCGTACCTCAAGCTCCTCGGGAATTACAAGGGAGCTCCTCGCCTGCCCTCACTGGCACTGCTGTGAGGGCTGCGCCCCGGCTGATGCCGCTTTGTGTGGGGTGCTGTGGTGGTGGGGCTCGGCCCCCCTCTGCAGGGAGGGAAGGGGAGCCCAGGGACGCCGAGAGCAAGGCTCGCACGTCAGACCCGGGTCCGGCGAGGCGTAAGGCCCTGAGGGCGGTTTGGGCCGGCGTGGTTCCTCTGACGGCGGGGTCGTGAGGGGAGGCCGGGGCCCCTCCCGGGACTACAGCTCCCGCCGGGACTACAGCTCCCGCCGGCCCCCGCGGCCGCCCCGCTCCCGCCCTGCCCCGCGCGCCCAACCGCCGCCCTTT